ATCTCCTCTTTCTCTCCCTCACCACCCCATATCACCTCTTTCCTCTACCTCACCAATTCCTATATCTCCTCCTTTCTCTACATCACCACTCTCTATCTCCTCTTCTCTCACCTCACCACTCTATATCTCTTCTTCTCAACCTCACCATCCTGTATATCTCCTCTTCTCTCCCTCACCATCCTATATCTCCTCTTCTCAACCTCACCACCCTATATCTCCTCTTCTCAACCTCACCACCCTATATCTTTTTCTCTACATCACCACCCTATATCTCCTCTTCTCTCCCTCACGACCCTATATCTATTTTCTCCCTCACTACCCTATATCTCCTCTTCTCTACATCACCACCCTATATCTCCTCTCCTTTACATCACCACCCATATCTCCTCTTCTCTCCCTCACCACCCTATATCTCCTTTTCTTTCCTCACCACCCTGTCTCCTCTTCTCTCAATCACCACCCTGTCTCCTCTTCTCTCCTTCACCACCCTGTCTCCTTTTCTTTCCCTCACCACCCTATATCTCTTCTTCTCTACATCACCACCCTGTCTCTCCTCTTCTCTACATCACCACCCTATATCTCCTCTTCTGTCCCTCACCACCCTATATCTCCTTTTCTCTCCCTCACCACCCTATATCTCCTCTTCTCTACATCACCACCCTATATCTCCTCTTCTGTCCCTCACCACCCTATATCTCCTCTTATATCCCTCCTCTCACCACCCTATATCTCCTCTTCTCTCACACTCACCACCCTATATCTCCTCTTCTTCTCTCCCTCACCACCCTCTATATCTCCTCTTCTCTACATCACCACTCTATATCTCCTCTTCTCTCCATCACCACCCTATATCTCCTCTTCTCTCCCTCACCACCCTATGTCTCCTTTTCTCTCCCTCACCACCCTATATCTCCTATTTTCTCCCTCACCACCCTATATCTCCTATTTTCACCCTCACCACCCTATATCTCCTCTTCTCATCACCACCCTATATCTCCTCTTCTCTACATCACCACCCTATGTCTCCTCTTCTCTACATCACCACCCTATATCTCCTCTTCTCTCCCTCACCACCCTATGTCTCCTTTTCTCTCCCTCACCACCCTATATCTCCTATTTTCTCCCTCACCACCCTATATCTCCTATTTTCACCCTCACCACCCTATATCTCCTCTTCTCTACATCACCACCCTATATCTCCTCTTCTCTACATCACCACCCTATATCTCCTCTTCTCTACATCACCACCCTATATCTCCTCTTCTCTCCCTCACCACCCTGTCTCCTTTTCTCTCCCTCACCACCCTATATCTCCTATTTTCACCCACACCACCCTATATCTCCTCTTCTCTACATCACCACCCTATATCTCCTATTTTCACCCTCACTACCCTATGCCTCCTCTTCTCTACATCACCACCCTATATCTCTTCTCAATCTCACACATCCTACTTTCAATTCTTGCAGCATCTTACCCACACTTCCACTTATGTTTCACACAGACATATGCATTCTGTGTGTTTTCCATTTATATCATTAACAGAAATAGAACAAACTGTGAAGAACAAGAACCAGCAGAATGTAGAGAATTATTTATTCACTGAGTATTATGCAAAGTTTCCATTAGTTAGACCATAATGTAAAGAGATTTGTGATAAGAAATATATAGCTCCCTGGCCAGTATTCACATCTACACCGGAACACCATGTACCTGTGGCTGCCACAAACCTCAGCAGAAGCTTGGGGGAGACAACTCTCCCCAGAAACAATAGCAAAACTAGAACTTGCATAAAACACATGTCACTGCTTTAGGAGATTATCTGTCATATGTTACACCTGCCATGATGACTGATATTTGTGTGTCTTAACGTTTTTAACAAGTACATACACAAGTCTCAAATTATTTTCTCAAAATTCGAATTTTGTAAAAATATACAGTGCATCTCGTGACATATGTCTGATAAAGCAATAGGTATACATAGAAATGTGAAACTTTCACAGAGAAAGTGCCTGAATTATTGTCCTTGCTGAATATGGGAGTCAGTATGATGGCGATAGTCAGGATGGAAGGACGTCAGCTGCACAACCTATTAGAATTCATCTCATATGGCAAACTGTCACAAACCTGGTGCTTCTTTGTTTGTTGAATTGCAGCACACTCCACAATATTCCAGCTGCTGCTGTCACGTCAAGGATTGAGATGAGAATAAGGTCTCGGCAGGAGGGGAGGGAGTGAGTAAGTTATTTTTACGGCATTTTAGCAATATTCCAACAATATCACAGCGAGGGACACCAGAAATGGGCTTCACACACTGTGCCCATGTGGGGAATCAAACCCGGGTCTTCAGCGTGACGAGAGAATGCCTTAACCACTTGGCTACCCCATTGCTCACTGGAGGTGAGAGGATAGACCAAGGGCTGAGAGACTCGAGATAAAGATGGAAGAAGCAAGGACCTACAACATTCTGGCATATATTTCATATTTTGGCATATTTTTAGGCACACATTTTTGGGCCCACTTTCACTTATTTTATCAGCAAACATTTTGGCTCATTTACATGTATTTGATAATTATTACTTGGACTAAATGTCACCCTTTATACCATTTTGGTGCACACTGAGACAATATTTGTGGCTTTCTGCCATCAGAATATATATTTCTATTTTCCATTGCGTATACACACGTCTGTTTTCACTACTGTAGTTCATCCTTACAGCAAGTAATGGCTGGAAACAACAGCATTGCATTACTGGAATCTCACCAAATCATAAGGATTCTGAACATGAGGCGTAAATTCATATTGTTGTAGTGAAGGTTGAGTAGAAATCATGAGCTGCCACTCATCCTCAATATGAGTGAGTGAGTATGGTTTTACGCTGCTTTTAGCAATATTCCAGCAACATCACGGTGGGGGACACCAGAAATAGGCTTCACACATTGTACTCATGTGTCCTCAATATGAGAACTAAACAAATGAACTAAAGAAATCAAAGCATCAGTCCTGCAACCCACAGACTCTACAATGAGTAAATGTGTGACTGTCAACACCAACTCAAGAAAAACTGGAGCACTTAGAGATTCAATAACAAGTCAAAGCCAATATACCATAGTAACCACATCTGATAGAAACTCTTCCCAATGTACACACAATATTATGAAATAATAGCAATTCACTGTAGCTCACCAGGATATGCAGTCAACAGTTTACAGGTCAACTAGGCTGAAGTTACCCATGATATCCAAACAAAGAATCACAACTAAACACTGACATCCCACTGATCCGACCATCATGTCATCAGAAAAGAAACACACATGCCTCAATTCAATGTCCTCAGTGTTGCCTATCCTCCATTATTGTTTTAAAATAATTTTATTTTTACAAGTCCATTTCATTATGATATACATTGCTGGACCCATATGCCACCATTGTTTCTTTGGGGAAGTGACATCACAATCTCCATATTCCATATTGCTGACAGTGTACAGAATCTCTGTCGCTGGTGGCTGGAACTCAACAACCAATCATATGAATCAGAGTTCAGCATAGACCTATATTATAAATAATGTCATCCTTAGTGCAAGTCCTCAATACTTTTCAAATAAAGGATTTTTGTTACGATTCAGATTGACCTTCCAACTACAAAGATGTTATCTCAAGTACTAAGATAAGGGGAAGGAAGCCAGTATGCTACTGGGTGTTTCCTGTTGAGAAGATTTGATATTGTTAACAGAGTTTCTGTAACCATGATCATGTTATTTCATTGCATGTCTAAATCAAAATAAGGTTTGGTACCGAATGGGTCCATGATATTTATCATAATGGAATGGCAATATGACATGCTATATTATCTAGTTGTTTGGCCATTTCCAAATAGTTAATAAAATATTCAGATCCAAATAAATTATCAAAAATTGGATTCCAACATTTTGGACAGACTGAGATGTCAAAATTGGTCAGAACAAATGTCAGCTTCAATAGTGTAGTGTATGTTTTTTACAAGATATTTACAAGAGCTGATGGCCAAGCAAGCCATAACATCAGCTCACTTGATGTTGAGTCAGGAAAGCTGAAGCTTTTTATCCACATCTGGAAGAAACATCCAGACCATGTTCATATTTATGTTAATGGTTGACTGACTGACTGACTGAGTTTGGTTTTACGCTGCTTTTAGCAATATTCCAGCAACATCACGGCAGGGGACACAAGAAATGGGCTTCACACATTGTACCCACGTGGGGATTCGAATCCGGGTCTTCGGCGTGACGAGCCCATGGTTTAACCATTAGGCTACCCCTTGTTAATGGTTGACTTCAACTGTAGAATGTGTTGAAGCTTGTGTTCTTGCACTTTCAGTTTTAACGATACCTCATGTTGACTAACTATTAGGTTATCATGCAAACAATAACCTACAGATGACAGTAAGAGCTCTATTGTCTGAGCTTATGAATAATCTAACATTTGAGGTAAAATACTAAACAATAAAACTTGCACAATTCAATAATAATTTCATAATTTTTCTATTTTATGAGTGTTAACGGTTAATCTCAATGACACCAAGTTTATGTCAGACTTGTGATGTAAGCATGGGAGGGCTATGATTTAAAATGCCACACTCAGCAATATTCCAGCTACATGATGGCAGCCTGTAAATTATCATGTCACGATTGATATCATGAGTAACGGCAAGCTATCAACTAAGTCACTCAATCCATTAAATCACCACCAATGTACAGCATAGATTTCTGAGGACCACATGCCGAGACTAATGACGGACAGGACCATGCAAGAAGTCAAGACCACTAGCTCTGCCCATACAAGTCAAGGCCATAGACCTACCTGTACAAGTCAAGACCATAGCTCTGATTGTACAAGTCAAGACAATTAGATCTGTGAAGAAAGGTAGATGAAAACAATCTCAAAAAAGGCACGTCATCAACACCAATGTAACCTCTCTTTGCATGAAGATCTGATGCCCACTCTGTAGTAGGTTACATTAGCTGAGTCAGCCAATCAGAATCAAGCCTTTAAGTCCCAGATAGGAGTGAGAAAAGCATACGAATCAGCTTACATAACTTATGCGTTCCAAATATACATAAAAAGGACCATGCAATTAAATTGTTTGGATATTTGTACATCTTGTCGAGCACCAAGGCATCAAGGATTACCAGTGTGTTATGTGCTGCTTTTCTTTTGGTGAAATATAATACATGAAATGAGGTGATAAGAAAATAATCGGAAATATTTGAGAAAGCTGACAACTGATTGGCTCGATAACCCATACATCCTTCCTTCAAGACTGTACCAGAGTTAAAGATTAGTCTTCAATGAGATCAGCTTCAAAACACCGGTTTCAACCAGCACCTGACAGGTTGGACCAATCATGGAATATTATCTCAGACATTATAACATAAGCTCCATCAATTCACCAGTTCATCAATCTTTGACAGGACTGTTTAAAGAGGTGTCCATACTTTCAGACCTGTTCACACCAAGCAGCAGTTGATGTACAGTGCCAAAGTGGCTAGAGGGAATCTAATACACTGACATATATTTCTTCAGTTTAACATATTTACATATTCACTTTATTTAGCGAATTCAAAATCCTGGACAAAAAGTTCCTCCCTCCAACAATTCAACACAATATGTACATGGGGCATTAATAGTTAACCTATGGCACACTCACGTGGTTGCATTACATCTGATATACAATCACACACACTATGTATAAAGCCTTGAGCTTCAAACAGATCATCTTCCCAAGGCCTGGCATTCCATTCCCTACTGCAGGGATGCTTGGTTCATTACAACATGTGTCCAAAACTAGCCCTAAAAGCTACCCGTAGAGTATTTTGAAAAAATGTTTACTGCCCAAAACATATTTTCTAAGTGTAGACACATCTCCATATTTATTTACACTTGTGATTAAAAGTGTTGCAAATTTGCAGATATGGTACAGATCTGTCATGCGCTTTAGCTGCCACCTGTCTAACCAAAGTGCTAAATTTGTTCCACAAACTAAGAAAGTAACCAGTTTAATGTAAGGAAAGCTGGGACAGCAAAGGGAGGTAACACTGAAAAATACAAAACTTCCCTAGCTTCAGCATAACAAAACCTCAAGAAGATCACTTCAGTTCTTCTCTCTCTCTGTCAAGATCTGTCGATCGCCACCAGGAGGGATACAGCTATCAAGACAGAGCACATGATATGATTTTCATGATCTTGCTGCATGACACCTTAAAGGAATGTAATATCTTAGCCTTGAGAAGATGTCTGAAGCTTGCATCCCAAACCCTGATGAAACAGGAGAGCTACTGACATACATGGGGCACCCCTGCTATCATACATCGGTGGCCCGGAGGACAAACACAGCATCATATAGTACAAAGAAGGATTTGTTTATATCTCCCTCACACAAATAAGGGAGTTTGGAAAATTTCTCCACTGTGAACCCTGCTGGTGTAAAAACATGTCTGATGAGGCTGACCGTCTGCTCCTCAAATGTTTTCCCTTCTATATGGAGGCACTCTATGGGCTGATGGTCCGTGGAACCTTCACAGAAATGAGAAATTCATGTTATTGCACACAACTCAAATACCCTGAACCACACAGTTTGTATAGGAATGTAATGGTCTAGGAAAGTGGAATAATTCAGTAGTTCAGATATAATTAAATCCAATGTAATCATAATTTGTATAATACAGTCAGACCTCGTATATCCGAACTTCAGATATCCGAATACCTCGGTTTCCGAACATTCTTCACAAAAAACGAAATTTTCTAGTTACAATTTACCTCGTGTTCGGTTTCCGTATCCGAACGGTCAATTTTGGAAACGAAACAGCAAAATATGTACAAATTTGCCTCGTATATCCGAACACCAAGGCTGTCGTCGGCAAGATATGTGATGTTTACCGCTCCTCAACAGTGCTATCATGTCTACCGCTTGTCAAAACATTGTGCTGGCTGCTAGTTAATTCATTTTTAATTGAATATTTATCACAGGGCGTGTAGGTTAATTAGAGAAGAAACAATTAAAGTTTGACATTGAGTTGACACTGATTGGAATTGTTGATTGAGTAAGCGTAAATAAAGACGGAGGTGTATGCTAGATATAGAAACAACACAAAGGCGTGGATGACAGCAGAGCTGTTTCGTGATTGGCTGCTGTCTTTTGATCGACAGATGAGGTCACGTGTAAGGTGGGTCATTTTGCTTGTTGACAATGCAGCTTGTCACAACTGTAACAGTAAAAATCTGAAACTGACCAGCGTGACTGTCCATTTCCTGCCACCCAACACAACGCACACATTCAGCCAATGGATGCAATGGATTTGAAAATGTCGGCGACGCTCACAAATCCAAGCAGAGAATAACAACTCTGTCCGTCAACAATCATCAATCAAAGACTTTTTCAATCCGATGTAATTTATGTTATGTTATGTTATGCAAGATGTTATGTTAAGTAAAGATGTAGTTATGTTTCAATGTTATTTTTAGTTGTTTTGTTTTCATATGTAGCCAACCGCCTAGGTCCTGATTCAGATATCCGAATGATTCGTTTGTCCGAACAATTCAATAAAAAAAACAAAGTGTTCGGATAAACGAGGTCTGACTGTACAACAGTATCAAATTTTGATTAAAAAATGATTCAGGACTCTTGAAATTTGTACAACTCCTTTGAAAACACGATGCTGATAAAATCACCTACCAAATTCTACAAAAGGTTTAAATGGAAGCACTACTGCCACGATGGCACGGCCACTCCCTCTTCGTAATGATTGACGGATGGAATGAAGAATGCTGATTGGTCGATCGCATCTGTCCAGCAGATTGAGACAGCTAATGATGTCATACACGCGGGTTCCATTACTCCACTCACTGATGCCCAACACCCTGTAATCACAAATCATCAGGAATCAAACATTCTGAGGAGGAATATGTCATTGGTAATGATATTTTCTGGACTACTTGTTGCCTCTTCATCAGATACATGGGACAACTGCTTGCCTGAAATGCCCTTACAATCAGTAGAACTGCTGGCCTGAAATGCCCTTACAATCAGTAGAACTGCTGGCCTGAAATGCCCTTACAATCAGTAGAACTGCTGGCCTGAAATGCCCTTACAATCAGTAGAACTGCTGGCCTGAAATGCCCTTACAATCAGTAGAACTGCTGGCCTGAAATGCCCTTACAATCAGTAGAACTGCTGGCCTGAAATGCCCTTACAATCAGTAGAACTGCTGGCCTGAAATACCCTTACAATCAGTAGAACTGCTGGCCTGAAATGCCCTTACAATCAGTAGAACTGCTGGCCTGAAACTGCTGGCCTGAAATGCCCTTACAATCAGTAGAACTGCTGGCCTGAAATGCCCTTATAGTAGAACTGCTGGCTGCTGGCCTGAAATGCCCTTACAATCAGTAGAACTGCAGGCCTGAAATGCCCTTACAATCAGTAGAACTGCTGGCCTGAAATGCCCTTACAATCAGTAGAACTGCTGGCCTGAAATGCCCTTACAATCAGTAGAACTGCTTGCCTGAAATGCCCTTACAATAAGTAGAACTGCTGGCCTGAAATGCCCTTACAATCAGTAGAACTGCTGGCCTGAAATACCCTTACAATCAGTAAAGAAGCAAAAAGTAACATTGTCACCCAAATGTTACATGGTATGTGACTGCCAAAACCGCTTGATCCAACTGTGTAAACAAACTGATCAGCATCTGATAGTCTCTTAGAATGAAATGGATATTGTATTCTTCAATACTCACTTGATAATTAAGCAAGGCAAAGTTATGTCTATTCCTAAACAATTATGCTTGATCTCGAATAACAGACCTCTACAACTAAATTTAGTCAGGTTTCCAAGGTCAACAACTGCAGCCATATGTATGTGAGGTTACCATGGTTACTGCCACTCCCCGACATTGTTACCTGTAGCCTCTTTCCTGCAGTCTCTTCACCATGATCTCCGATATTTCTGTTGCATACACATTGTCGAAATACCTCGCCAGCTGACTAGTCACCATTCCGTCTCCGGCACCTGAGAAAAGAAGAATCCAGTTTGACCATGCCAACAAAGCAACAGATAAAATACATGACTTTCATATTCCAACTAAGCCAAGATGTTCAGAAATCTACCTTTTGGTGTTTACAATGCAATGTTTGTGGTCTCATGCCACACTGGGAAACATTCAAGCTATTTATGATGGAAGCATTTACATAGTCAAGTATGGACCACACAATCCAGTGACTGACATCATGAGCACTGACCATAGTGAACACGAAATGCTGTATAGCGAACCTTCGACATAACATAAGGATATACCTGTATAGCGAACCTTCGACATAACATAAGGATATACCTGTATAGCGAACCTTCGACATAACATAAGGATATACCTGTATAGCGAACCTTCGACATAACATAAGGATATACCTGTATAGCGAACCTTCGACATAACATAAGGATATACCTGTATAGCTAACATAAGGATATACTTGTATAGAACCTTCGATAACATAAGGATATACCTGTATAGCGAACCTTCGACATAACATAAGGATATACCTGTATAGCTTAACCTTCGACATAACATAAGGATATACCTGTACAGCTTAACCTTCGACATAACATAAGGATATACCTGTATAGCGAACCTTCGACATAACATAAGGATATACCTGTATAGCGAACCTTCGACATAACATAAGGATATACCTGTATAGCAAACCTTCGACATAACATAAGGATATACCTGTATAGTGAACCTTCGACATAACATAAGGATATACCTGTATAGCAAACCTTCGACATAACATAAGGATATACCTGTATAGCGAACCTTCGACATAACATAAGGGTATACCTGTATAATGAACCTTCGACATAACATAAGGATATACCTGTATAGCGAACCTTCGACATAACATAAGGATATACCTGTATAGCGAACCTTCGACATAACATAAGGATATATTATAGCGAACCTTCGACATAACATAAGGATATACCTGTATAGTGAACCTTCGACATAACATAAGGACATACCTGTATAGCGAACCTTCGACTTAACATAAGGATATACCTGTATAACGAACCTTTGACATAACATAGGGATATACCTGTATATCGAACCTTCGACATAACATAAGGATACACTAACATCAAAGCACCACTACCTTCAAAACCATTACCATTCCCTCCTACTAGTCTATATCATGATATTGCTCAAATATTGTCCACGTGAAGTTAGAGTTTATTTCACTCAGTATATCATGACAGACGTGTTTTAAAACAACTGAAGTTCTGGGACAAGACATGGTCCGTAGTATGGTGATCTACCTTCAGTTGTTGGCGATCTATAGCCTGTTTTTAGATTGTATTGTCCAAATAGTGCTATTAGTTTTAACTTTCGACGCTAGTTTTAATGCTAATTGTGATATTCTAGTTATTTTACTGTCCTTTGACAGTACATACTACAGGCTACAGACACACTGTCACATAAACAATCAGGGTGCTCCTGGTCATAGTAAAAAATATTCATTGAGATAAAAAGATACATGGAGACGAAGACATGTGTACACCATTAGAGGGAATGTAGGTGCAATGAAAGTATGTATTACTGCCCTGCTGTCTCCTTCACAAACATTTCATGTAGTCTGTTATTTATGCTCTGTTTTCATGGCTCACATTTCCAAAGGTTCTCGCAATTGACAAACAGGAAAAGGAATTGATAGGGGAGATAACTCACATTACCTAAAAAACAAAGCTATCATCAGTTTTAATGGACAATAAGACATTTTTCCAACAAAAAGATATTTGAAGGCTTTCTCTGAGTAGCATTCAAATTTATTGAAAACTGAATTTCTGGGGAAAGGATCATAATCACTATGACTGATTTGTAAATCACATTCTGTTCGGGTTGTTAGACCTAGTAGTGTATACAGTCAAACTGGCAAGTGGAATTCAAGGGCGGTAACTTGAGATTGTGAAAACCACAGGAATAGTTAGGGGTTAGTGTAGGTTTACCAAAAACCTGGCCAATCAATGCCCTGTTTGGTGTATCCATGACAACTGAGTTGGCCATCACCTGTCTACATGTTTATGTAGACCATGCCCAGTGAAGGAATATGAGACAGAATGTAGCCTACCAAGATCCAGCATGTTCTCTGCCTGCCAGTGCCAGCCTGTGGGAATGTCCAGGAGGGCATCCAGCTGACCCTTTGAGAAGATGAACATGGATCCCCTCTTCAGCCATCTGAAACATACACAGGTTGTCTTCAGCACTCTGGATGCTGTGTCCTGGTACTGACACAACACAATACCCATGTTCAAAGTTGAACTACACGTAGTCACGTCTTGCAGAAGAACTACTCAGAATAAAATGTTTGTGTTAACGACAGATACATGCTTTGGATGGAGATATTAAATATACAGCTAACTAAAGTAATGCACTTTTTGAATGATTTGAAAGTCAAAATCTCAACATGACATACAAGCTTAAGAAACATCAAATTTATGGTAACTGTTTAAGTCATATCACCATGGTTGCACACAGTGACCGAATAATTGCCATTGTGTTGTATATGCTGGTCCTTGACATCTCTCGTCAGGGTCTTTCAAATGTCACAGTCAGCATCGTCTGCACCTCCATTTGACAAACAAAGGTGGGTGTGGAAATTCCCTGGACTCACAATGACCAAACAGTCAAAGCATATTTTGAATTTTATTAGGGACGACACATGGTGACTAAAACTGTAACAAGTTGACATGATCAGGAACTCTATTTATAAACCTATGGCCAATGTTGTCTATTGTTCTTGCAGTTGCTTCGCATTATAGAATAACCTCGGTAGAGGTTTTACGATTGCAGGAGCTTTTACAATGACCATTGTAAAACCTCATACGAGGTACGAAGTTTTACAATGGTCGTTGTAAAACCTCATACCCTGATAAGGTTTTGAAATGACCATTATTTGTGACTGATACAACTTTGTCTTGCTATGACTGATCGTAAAATATCTAATTATTGAAAACTTCCAATATTCAGTGGCGATAACTGGTTTCGAACCCGCAACCCATCGCTCTCTAGCTTGGCGGTTTTATCCACTAGGCTACTGAAGGATCGCTGTGAGGACTGAGATTGTTTGTCAGTATGAACCATGTGTTTCTCACACGACACGCATTCGCGGGCAGCACACGTGCAGGACACGGGTAGCGCGTGCAGAGCACGAGCATTGCGCGTGCGGGGCAAGGTGTTGGCTGCTAGTCGCATCCCAGTTGACACCGGCTGTTCCATCATTTGCGGGCTGTTCCATCAATGTTGTTCTACTCAGTACATGCACAAATTGAAAATAAGTGTTGTCTTAGACGGTTTATAAGTTAGATAAAACACTCCTCCTCGGTTTTGGTTGAGAATGTAAAACCTCAGTGTCAGGAAATCCCTCGGCCGCTAACGCGCCGTGGGGATTCCTTCCCCTGAGGTTTTACAATCTCCACCAAAACCTCGGAGTCGTGTTTCATCCTACACATACCCATTAATGGAGGTGCTTGTCATGAACCAGCTGAGGATGTAGCGAAGTAGTGAATGTCTCAGTTGTGTGAAGATCCATTCTGCCTTCTCGTAACAGGATTCAAGGAACTGTGTTGTCTCCAGATCCTGATGGAAACCGATGAATTTATCACGGAGATCCTCTGGTAGGGCAGATATGTCAAACTCGTACCACTGGAAGAATGGTTGATCAAATGGTTATACAATACAGTATACACATGCTAAATGTACAAACCCTTGTCCCTTCAAACAGGAAAAACAGACAAAAGCAGAAAATGTTTTGGTTAGGTATTAAACAATATTCAGTTACTCAAAACTTGCTCAAACATGTCAGATCAAGCTCATCTCCCCAAGGGCCGGGGAAGCATAGTGTTTAAGTTAAAGTGTTTGCTCATCATGCCAAAGGCCCGGGTTCGATTCTCCACATGGGTACAATGTGTGAAGCCCATTTCTGGTGTCCCCCGCCATGATATTGCTGGAACATTGCTAAAAGCAGCGTAAAACCATACTCACTCACCCATCTCCCCACACATTTACAATCAACGAACTCATTTAGTCGTAGCCTGAACTAAAAATGCTAATGGTGATTATATGTCGTAACTATATATGGACTGGTTGAAATGGCTGACTCATACCATGCAATCAAATCAGATGGCAGGTGCTTGTTTTAGAATAAGATTGTAAAAGATTAAAGCTCATCACCTCAGCAAAACAACACCAAGAGAAAATAGAAATGATTTGCAGAAACGGAACTTCACCAAAAGAGAAAATGTGCACTATTCCAATGTTACGAGAAAACGTCACCTGAAATATTTTACTTTGTTTATTAAAACCCCCCAAATAGATTAATCTGACATGTTCACATGAAAACAGAAGTAATAGTGAAATGCTAATCACCTTAAAACAAGTTTACATTGGAAATATGCCTCTTCTCATGTTTACTTTCTGACTCAGGTGTGCAACAAAACGTATCATGCTTACTGTGAAAACACCACATACTTTGAGTTGTAATCTACTTAATTCAAGTCAATGAAAAGATGGAACTGTATTTAACATGTTTAAAATCCATTAGAGGAAATAATCGACATGTAACGTAGTGTGATGAATGTAACCAATGGACAAATCGTGTGTGGTACCAGACGACTGTCGGTATGTAAAAAAACAACTGCGAAGATTTCCCTTCCAATGTCCAGCATGCATGTACCCACTATGGGTGATAAGATCAGTGTGTGAGTTGAGGTAACGTGTTTACATTATATTGTTAACCAGTGTGATTGTACTTAGAAAATGTGTAATTAGAAACATATTATACTATACTATGCTATATATTATTGTTGTTGTAACAATTACAGTTATAAGCTTAACTGTGATTTGTAGATGAGCAATTGCTTGTTTTATGACTTAGGTAAAAAAACAGGTAGTATATACATCTTCAAGTGTGGCGCTACCATCGTTGTTGACATGCAGACCTACTTGGATAACAACAACAACAACATTTGTTCTGACATAAAGTTTACACAGTTATATTTCTAACTCTTGTTTCTTTCATTAGGGTAGGGCTGGCACAGACAAATTAACAAACCGGTTGGAGAGCATGGGGAACAGTAACTATCAATCTATAGGTTGATCTCAGAGCTGTTCCAATGGGCCAGTCTCCTGATCCAGGAGGTCCAACTCTCATGCTATGCCACGAAATCACGGGCCAGACAATAGAAGAGTATCAATGTGGCAAAGGTTTCAGGACGCAATGTCTTCCAAGAGGAGACACTGACACTGTGACCTGTTCTCCATGAACTGGTTGTGAGAAATGCAGGGACAGAAATGTGACATTGTGCTGTGACAATGTCAGAAGGGAATGATAGCAGTGTGGTGCTGAAACATGGTGGATGTATAGTGATGGTAATGTAATCAATAAATGGCAAGGATATTACTGCTGTGTGGTGATATGGAGACAAAAGCAGAAACAGTGTTACTAATGAACAAAGCATAAATGCCGCTACATAAATTGTTCTTATCTTCATTATCGATAAATGTTTCTGTGCTGTTAGACCTTCAAGTGCCTTTTGTGCAGTGATGTTTTGCTGAAGTACCATTTTAGCGTGTACCAGTTTGTAACACAAATCTTGGAATAAATTTCTGAATAGATTACCTTTTTTTAAAAATAGTAATTCATGTTCATTTTTGTTGTGAGCTATCAGTTTCAAATCCTTTTTCTAGTTTATCTGCACAGAACAAAGAATTATTAACCATGATTGTTCTGTTCTGTATACAGTTACAGATAGAACTGCAAACATAGATTGTCATGTCCATGTACTTGGTCATGTGAATATTATCTGAAGTCAGTTTGTCTTCCCAGTCATTGTTGGAAATGAAAAATATACAAAATATGGCACAAAATATCTAATTTGAATACACACTGAATATAATCAGTTGCATGAATAAACAGAAGAACTGGTATGTACACTTTGTGTTCCAAGTCATGTTAATACAAAGGCATGAGTGTATTTTTCTTCCTGATTCACAATGCTTTTGTTAACTCACATAGCTATGTGTGTCCTCCCTGTGTCGTTGATCTTCTAGCATACGATAATAAATATTTCTCATGAGAGGATTTCGTATTTGCTGCCCAGACCAGTCGCCCGGTTGTCCGGGAGTTGCCATTCTCAGGAGATTTACGAATGCTACAGCTGATATCAGGCAAATTAGTGTATCAGTAATGGTGAACATTTATATATCGACGCATTTACGTGGTCTTAGGGAATCAATGATTCCAATATCAGGAAAAATTGACTGATATCTCGCTGAACAAACCCATGTGTTGATGTTTACTGGCAGTACTTCCGCTTCCGGCTTGGTACAGTTGCACCTGACATTGATGGCCAGCGGTGCGCAGCGGTAGCCATCTGTAGTCGGTAGGAGGGTTTCAAATATATTTGTATCCTTATGTTAGTGAATGGGTCTTTTTACGTTATATTATTTCACATCTGTGGATGTTTGTAAGAGTACTGACTTTTTTAAAACTGCCCTACACACAAAGGTTTCTGAGAATATGTCATAATATTTCCTCTTTGAATGTTTTTGTGGTCATTTGTAAAAATATATGGCTAACAATGATCGTGATTATTTTTCTAGAATCATATAAAGAAAACGTTGATTATGATGATGATGATGATAAAAAATGGTTATTGTTTCTTTCAGCATCCCAGTGCTTGTGTTTACGACTGCGAAAATATCCTACTCCCTGAAGCCAGGGTAGAATATTGGTCGTCATAGAATTGTTTGTAGGAGATGACTATACATAGATCGGGTGACGTGCTCGATGATTTAGTTGATGACTCGAATGATTGCATGTCATCGATCCCATTGCGTGGGTCGATGCTCATGTTGTCCATCACCGGATTGTCTTGTCCAGTCGTATACATGTAGCTGCAATAGTGAAATAATAGAATTAAATTCTTGTTAGAATCTGGGTATGGCAACCAGTATCGTTTCCATCCAAAGACGTTGGTCGTGATCTCTCTGTAGAACATGCCCTCTGGTCAAAGATGTGGAAGTACCGTTATATAGTACTGGATGATACCCATCGCCATGAGGGATAGATAGTGTTGCACATCTAAACAAACACTAGGAAGTGGAGAACGTACGGCACAAACTTAATCGTGTTGAGACATTTGGTTATACTTTGTCAAACACAATGGCATTGAGCGAGATATTGCACCTTCTCTAATGCCACAAACATGAAATCACTGTAAAGCGTTTTGAGAAAATCATCTCAAATGAAAGTATCTCGGCCAAGAGGCATGATGTATTGATGTAACATGAAGGTCCACAAGCTCTGCGAACCAAACTGACTATATGTATTGTCGAGACAAACAGCCAGGTTGATATCTCCACAATGTTCAGTGTCTGACATGATCTGAAATTGTGACACACGTTATATTTGGGATTACACTTTCTCTATGAAGTACAGATTCTATTACTTCTGTTAGGATGAGTGACACAAAGTCAGCCGCCAAAACCACTCAGCCACCGCAGCTTCCCCATTACTTAGAAGGTGTAATCACAAATATCATAAGTGCCACCCCATGTTATCCCGTTTCCTAAGAATCTTGACAAAATGTTGTTGGCATCAATGATGAGTGTTGCAGTCCCTATAAGAAATGTGTCCTGATCATCAGTGAACTTCACGCAGCTCACGCTGTTCTTTGTACAGACACAACTAATAGTATGTGTTGGCAACGGTCCTCAAAGTCTCGAAAAATTTTGCACGAGAGGCCGTAAGGCCGAAAACAAGGCCCACATGCAAAAATAATTTTAACATTGAGGGCCATATTCAACTTAAAATAGTATCTCATACAAAATACGCGCCAAACTAATGTCCGCTCTGTTTGCATGTGCACGTATACTGGAGGGTCGTTTTGCATTTTGGGTCGAAAGGACTAATGAGAGGTCGTTTCTGTGTTCGTACATTTGGAATACATTCAATAGAAAGTCTACATCATATCATTTCTGCGTAGGACTGCCAACGATCACAATCGGATATGACATAAACATGACTATCAAACTATTGCAGGATGAACATTAACTGAAATGGAGGGTGAACATTTGCTGAAAACTATTGGAGAGCTTCTATTCAAAACTCAGACTATTGGAGGCTTCCATTACGAACGCCCGTGACCCATGCATCTTCAACTAATATGTAACCGACTTAAATATGTTTTTAATCTCGCTATAAAGATGATGGTCACCTGTGACCCAAAGATGTTTCACTAACATTCCACTAATCTACCAGGCGATGTACCCTATGCCAACATTGATGTATGACACCCATAAGAAACCTTCCATGCATCACATACTGCTGAATCGACAAAGACTATGTTGAAATCGGACGATTTCTGTCATTACAGTGTTACTTCAAACAGCTCAGATGATCGAGCAAAGGTCGTCGTGCAACCACTGAACCAGGAAATCGACATTTGGAACACATCCCTCTGGTTGTTTTCAATACACCGCCGCTGTAATGCAAATGGTCGTACCATCTGATGTTGTTAATGGAGTTGCTGCACCACCCATGTGTTTTGTCAGTGATTATATTAAAATAAAACGTTCATCAGAAAATGACCAATATGTAGTTAAGACCAGTACTAAACAAGAAGACATGGTCATCAACATTCCCCGCCACACTGTTCTGTTCCTATTTTGACAACTATTCATTTTTCCTACAAATAGCGATACATAAGCTGCTAAATGAGAAACAGTTTGTGCGAAAATTTGTTCCCACTGGGGATAACGTGCACTAAGTCAAGAAACGCATGACAAGGGCCATAACTCTGTAAAGAATCGTAACACTGCTTCCGTTTTCGAACTCCATCAAGGCATTCATGTCCTGAAAACACATACACAATTGAGGTTTTTGAGAAAAAATGTCCCGATTATCTCGGACGGACAGACGGAGCTCAAACCTATATCCAGTGTATGAAATAAGCCAAAAACCCAGCCAGACATCTGGGCTGGTAACTTCAAAAACTTACCAGCCCGGAAGAGATTTAACCAGTCCTTCTTAAATACTAAATAGACAGTGCCAGTAGACACGTTATCTGAATATTTTTGTCACCCGTCCATCGGGCTGGTTAGCTGTAAAATTCGACCGTCCGGCAGAAATCTAGCCCGAGTCGGACGGGCCTTATTTCATACACTGCTATATGCCCCTCTCACTTCGTGGCGGGGGATAATAACCTCATTCAGTGCGCGACAAATTTTCCAAATATTTAACATACTGACATAAACTATACAGGGTATTACACCCTACCCGTATATGTCTTTATCAACCCGTGAAGATCCGGTTTAGAGTTGGTCTTTAGTAACCCTTGCTTGTCGAGATGACAAACTTGGTCGAGTGGTCAGGCTCGCTGACTTGGTTGACATATGTCATCGTATCTCAATTGCGAAGATTGATGCTCATGCTGTTGATCACTGGATTGTCTATTCCAGATTCGATTATTTACACACCGTCGCCATTTTGCTGGAATATTTCTGACTGCGGCGTTAAACAACAAAAAAAAGAAAGAAAAGAAACAAAAAAGATATGTCTTTATCTAAACAGAAACCTGTCGTGTCAGGATTGTAGAGCTGGTACTGTCTACCACAAATACAAGGGCACACACTTCACTATGGCTGTAAAGCAGGAATCGGTTCTACCAGTATCCTTTTCGTTTGTGGAGATATTACTCATGTCTAACATCCAATACACCAATTAAAATTAAAATAAAATAATACACAATATGATATAACGAACCCACTTATATAACCAACATATATTTGGGGGTCACATCTTTTGAACAAAGAAAGCTGCAGAACAGGGATCTAATGTGGATTGATTAGGAGGACATGTTTTGCTTGAACTGTCTGCATTTATGAAGAGTAAATAACCACCCATATTCCAGTAACACAATGAATCAAAACATCAGTCATCTCCAGAGGTTGAGTATAGCGTTTTTCAAGTTTATTGAAACAGATATGAATGGCAAGCTGCTGGAAACAGCCGTCCCATCAAATCACTCACAGTGGCTAGTTACGGTTTGTGCCAAGACAGAGATGGTGGAGTCTTTTCGGAAACGAACCAATGGATCCAGGGTACTTATAATATAATTGAAGATGCAATACAATGAAAGATAGAGGGTGCTTAAAGTAGCACCAGTTATCTGGAATTATGAAAGCTATAACCTCTGGAACCAAACAACAGATACCACTGAGTAGAAAGAACTTCTGAGGTTGTTGCAAAGAAAGTCGAGAGGGACACTCACTTCTTCATTATTCATCAAACTGCATGAATTACCACGGTCTGTCAGCTAAAACTGACAGATTCTAAGAAGAAATGAGGATTATTAGAAGACCGTCGTTAATAGGAGTGAGTGTGTATTAAGTGAGTGAGTTTAGTTTTAAGCCGCACTCAACAATATTCCAGCTATATGGAGGCGGTCTGTACAAAATCGAATCTGGACCAAACAATCCAGTGATCAACAGCATGAGCTGCGCAACTGGGATACGATGACATGTGTCGACCAAGTCAGCGAGTCTGACCACCCGATCCCGTTAGTCTATCACGTTATAAGAATAAAGTGAGTAAATTATTGGAAGACATGAGTTGCCAGAAACGGTGGGGGTTTGTCATACATAAAACATCGTTTAATGGCTTAACATGTGAATTATGTATGTCTATTTATAATAATAATAATAATGGAAATTTATATATCGCTAAATCCAACCACTAAGTGGTTGTCATAAGTCACCTCTTGCAAAATTATGATACTAATACATAATAATGTATCCTTGATGTTAAATATCCAGTTTCTTCACGGTATATGCTGTCATGATTACCTTGGTAAAGGATGCTTTATATTATAAGTTCTTGAGACAACCATTCCTAGTTACACATGGATATCTGTAAGGTCCACGGCAACACATTTGTACAGATCTTTCCAAGTTGTCTCTTCCCTAGACTAACAACTAGTCTCTGAAATAAACATATTTTACTGAAAAAAACGTTCATAGTAAAAAAACATATATATAATGAAAAGGAGCCCTGAGTCTTTCTTCATTTTCAGAAGCTGAGGAAATCTAGACTTGCCACATTTTCTAGACTTGCGTGGGCTTTCTTGGATATATTTGCTTCAGGGTCTGTACGAGAGACTATCTCTTCCCATACACAATCCGAGACCACTGCAGCTAAGTCTTAATTTCAACTTTGACCCGTGATAACTAATGACATTGAACTCAGAAAGGAATGATTTACTATTATTAAATAGGTTACATACAAAGTCAAACGTGTTCATAATCA